GCACTGGTAGAATACCGCCACGAATTCTACCTGCCGAGTGCGCGGCACAATCGAGACTATGAAGCAGCCACGGTTCCGAGACCGGAAAGCTTTTCGGTCCCTCTTACGAGCTGGAGGACATCGCCTACTCGAGATACTTGAACATCTAACGTCTTACTTTCAAAAGAAAAGGATCCTCTACCACTGGGGGACCTCTCAAACAATCTTGCTTCATAAAAAGGGCGATAGGGAGGATCTTTGGAACTATCGTCCAATATGCCTGCTGAGCGTGCTTTAGCTCTTTACAAAGATTATGCTCGCACATCAAGGACACTGGATGAAACCAACCTGTAGAACAAGGTGGATTTCGCAAGAGATTCTGCTGCGTGGATCACATCCAGACAGTTTCGAGGATTATCGAGGTTTGCCAAGAAAACGGCCTACCTCTCGTCAACCTTTGTCGATTATGAGAAAGTGTTTGACAACGTCGAGATGGCATACTGTCAGCACTCGTTGAAAGGGGTGAACCTATCTTAAGTGAAGTCGCCGACTGCTACGAGAACCGCTCTACAACGTACAGCTCCTTTAACATACCAATTTTGATGGGAATTCGGCATGGCAACACCTTGTCGCCAAAGCTGTTTGTCGCCGCCTAGTGGACGATGGAATCATTGAAACGAGGGAGGTATACGAGTTGTTAGGAGATTCCTCTCAAACCTTCGTTTTGCGACATTGTTCTCTTCTCTAGAAATATCACTGGAGCGGGGACGATGTTGAAAGGACTAAACGAAGTAAGGAAGCGGATAGGACTGCGACCCAGTCGGAAGAAGACCCCGTTCATGAAAAACGCTTTTTACAAGGAACAGGAAATGGATTTATACGGCTCTCCGGTTACGGAGACGTCTTCATACGTATATCTCGGACGTTCAATAAACATGGAGAACGATCTGAAAGAAGAACTTAACAAAGCGAAGAGCAGCTTAGGCCACCTTCGGCCCCTAGAGGAAGCCACAGACCAACTGACGGACCCAGAGTTCCGAGCCCACCTATTTGATTCAACCTTTCTCCCTACGCTCTGCTACGCAGCAGAAATGTGGTCTGACTCTGTGACGTCAAAAGCTCTCCGAACAACCCACAGAGCGCTGGAAAGACGTCCTCTGAAGTACAACCGACGCACTCAACATCTCGTCGGACTTCGCAGTTCAGTGAGATCAATGTCTTGTCTTCGCGATCCAGCGGAATACGTCTCTAACGCTAAACGATGAGCTGTCAAATAATGAGGACAGACGACAGATGAACACTAAGAACTTTTGAATGGACGGATTGAAACAATGCTGCGATCTGCACGACGAATGAAGACAGGCCATCTAAATATCTAAATAAGTATT